CCTCTGTTCATCAATTTGCACTGGCTACCAGTAGCTGCTCGCATTAAATTCAAGGCATTAATGTTTGTCTACAAAACCACCACTAGCTCTGCACCCATTTACCTAAATTCATTACTTCAGAGTTATGTGCCTCTAGAAGCTTCACCCTCTAACTCTAGCACTTTCTATTCTATTTTAATTCTACTTTATCTATTTATCATCATCTTCTTTTAAAAAAAAAAAACAAAACAAAAAAACTAGCAGCTTTCTATTTTTTCTACTCCATCTACTTTTTTTTCCTTTGTGTGTGTGTATGTGTGTGTATTTTATTTATATATATATATATATATATAATGTTTGCCTACAAAACCACCACTGGCTCTGCACCCCTTTACCTAAATTCATTACTTCAGACTTATGTGCCTCTAGAAGCTTGCGTTCTGCAAGTGAATGTCGCTTTATTGTGCCATCCCATAAAGCACAAAATCACTTTTATGGACTTTTACATTAACTGTTCCCTCCTGGTGGAATGACCTAACCAAATCAATCCCAGCAGCTGAGTCCTTAGCCATCTTCAAGAATCGGCTAAACACACCTCTTCCATCTTTATTTGACCCTCTAATTCTAGCACTCTCTATTCTAATCTAATTCTATTCTTAAAAAAGCAAAACACTTGTCCCCTTTAGACTTGCACTCTATTCATTTGCTGCTTGTTTTCTTAAAAAAAAAAAAAAAACTAACTAACATTTTCTTTCTAATCTTTTTGTATTCTATCTGTTTTCTTTTCATTTATTATACAATTAACAAAAGCAAAAAAGACCTCTAACACTAGCTTGCTCTATTCTTTTTCTATTCTATCTGTTTTCTTTTTATTTATTATATTATTTAAAAAACCTGCGTTAAGCTAACTGAGACTTGTTATAGCACTTGTATATCATTGCTCTTTTGTTGATTTTGATTGCTTCCATTATCCTCATTTGTAAGTCGCTTTGGATAAAAGCATCTGCTAAATGACTAAACGTAAATGCTGTTTGAGAACCACTGCCATTGGGAAACAAAATTTTAAGAGAATTAAAAAATACAAAACATCTGTCAAAGCACTTAGTGATAAAGGGCCCTATCATACACCCGGTGCAAGGCGCGGCGCAAGTGTTTTTGCTTGTTTCAGCCCGACGCAGTTGTCATTTTCCCGTCCTGCACCACGTTGTTTAAATAGCAAATGCATCTGCACCCATTTGTGCGCTCATGGGCGTGCTGGTCTAAAAAAGAGGTGTGTTCAGGCGCATTGTTGGCGCGTTGCTATTTTGAGGAACTGAAAATAGGCTGCGCCATAGACCAACTCAAGCCTGGCCTAAAGTGTGCCGCAATATTTTTTCTTTGTTATTTAAAGAGCGCGTTAGTAATATGCACCTATAGGTGGGTGCACAATGCGCATACATTTTGCTTATTACACGCACAGGGGCGCGCAGCAGCACACAAACATTTTTAAAAATTAAAAATTACATTCTGCCATGGCGCGAGCGCAACTGGCTCTTAAAGGTGATGGGAGATGAGACTCTGATTGGTTTATTGCGCGTTACGCCCAAAAAATACCCATTACTCATTAAGAGAATAGGGACAGCCCGTTTAGACCATTTGTTGATTTTATTTAGTTAATGCAGCAATTATATACTACAGTTTCAAGTTGTGAGTAAATATAAAACGTAAAAATATAAAACATGAATATCATCGGCATAACAGTAACAACTAAGCATAATGTTTCTCAGTGGAAACATGTACAGGCAGAAAAGCAGAGGACCTAATACA